CCTTCTGCTCGATTACATATACAGGCAAAATAACAACAAAAATTGCCCAACACATTAAAAAGAAAGGAATAACACCAGCTTTCCGAACAAATAACAACCTAGGCAAATATATTAAAAATAACAAGAGCAAAAATAAAAAACACTTAAATAGTGGTGTGTACAAACTTCAATGTGTCGACTGCCCAAAAACTTACATCGGTCAAACTGGTAGAAACTTTGATAAACGAATAGCAGAACATAAAAGGGCTTTCAAAACTAGAAAAACAGATTCGACATACGCACTTCACCTTCTAGATCATAATCATTCTTTTAATGACAAATTTAAAATTCTTCACATTCAAAATAAAGGCCTTAAGCTATCTTTGTTAGAATCTATGGAAATCAACAAATTAAAAAACACAGATATAACTCTGAATGACCAACTTGAGACAAACAGTTCTCCCCTCCTCAACCTATTTCATTAGAGACTATAAATTTGTAAACCCAAGCCAAAATTAGTTTTTATTGTTTTATTGTTACATAAAATGACTTCATAGTAACGGTCGAATCCATCAATTCAATAATTTAGTTTTATTTATTTTGTTTAATTTTATTTACTTTTAATTAATTTTATTTAATTTTATCAATTTTTATTTTAATTTTATTTAATTTTATTTATTTATTAATTTTATTTAATTTTATTTAATTTTATTTAATTTTGTTTAGTTTTATTTAATTGTATTTAGTTTTATTTAATTTTACTTCATTTTGTTTAAGTATATCTAATTTTACATGAATTTTATTTAATTTGATTTAATTTTGTTGATATTTTTAGCAATTTTGTTTTTGTTTGTTAGCAACTGTATCGTTTCAAGAACAAAATATGATTGAATTGTCAAATGTTGGTAGTTCAGATTTTCTTTCTAGGTGACATAGTTACCCTACCTGACAAACAGTGTGACTTGTCGTCCTAGCCTTTTATTGTAGATAGATAATCTCCAATAAGTGCATATATTGACAATTTAATCTAGGTTCAAGTATAAGACTAAGAAACCTAAAAGTTGTATGTCCATTGTTATCTAGTTTCAAGTTAGCAGTGAAAAAGCTATAATCTAAAATGTTTTAAACACTGCTAAACATTAGTTTTTAACCTCGAAAAAGTTGAGTTGTAAACTGCGAATAAGTTCTTGAGTTTTCTATGAAAGAGCATAAAAATATGTATCTTTCGGGTTTTGCAACGGAAATGCTGAGCATTCCGTATTACCGAAAGTTTATGGAGTACATAGACAATTTAAGAAATATGGGTTACGTAGTTATATGCTGGACAGAAAGGTAGACTTACCAGTAAACGTATGTGACCAAATTTTAGATATCGTTACTAATGATCGTACTACAAGATATGTGGATTGAATTAGGAGACGATTTGGAGTACAACGAATAACGGTTTGGACAATTTTTAAGCGTTAAAGCGTTGTACTACCATTTTCGTTAAGGATAAGATTCGATCATTACTATCTATTCGTGTATTCGTCTTATTTATGACGAAAAAACAATTTTGGACAAGTTTTGGAAAAAGAGGAAGAACTAGAGACAAACAACCGGCTTTTATGGCCAATACAGAGTTATTTTTCATCACAACGTTATGGCCACAACGATACTTTGTCGCTTTCACAACACAAACGTTTTTGTCACAACATTAGACGATATAATTTTATAAGACGATGAGATGGTACAGTTTCCAGAATTTTGCATAATACCAGCGAGAAAAATAGTTTTCCTCTACAAATAATAGAATAAAATGAAAAACTGAAATTTAATTCAAATGTTTATATAATTTTACCGCACTACAGATTACAGTACATACAATGACTGTTTATATTTTCCATTTTGATATGTCTATCACTTTGGCGTCGAATCGTTGAAATAAAAATTGATTTACGATAATATTTATTTTAAAATAATTGCATTATAGTATTTACTATTGATTAATTATTATTACGAAAACAATACTTCTTATGTTTCTTATCAGTTTTATGATCACAATTTTCCTAGTAAAAGACCGCCTTTATTGGATAATATTTATATCGACCAAAACAGAGGTGGTCTTTACATTGTATTACAACTGTGACCAAAAAGAAAAGATAACTGATGATAATGAACTAGACTGACATGTGGTATTTATAATTTTGTTTCGAAATCGAAAGTCAAGTGCTGAAGTCAATAAATTCCATAAATGATAACGTACAAAGTGATTCGATTAAATTAGCAATCGAGAAAACACAATAATTTTCTCTCATATCTATCTTCTATAAAAGCCCACATTATCCTTCTTGCATAATGTCAAGCTATCTTTTTCTTGGTTATCATACACTTTTCATTTCTTTTCATCTTCGTGTGCTCCATCTTTTAAGGACATTGGTGATCATTACGGCCTTCTTACTCTGTCCAACTGTCCTGAAGAGTTATATTCTTTTTTTACTCCACTGCTTTAAATTTTGTGTTCCACCAGGACGTTTCTCGTCTCCCCAGTCCTCTTTTTCCTTCAACTTTCCCTTGTACAACCAATCGCATCAACTCATATTTTTCATATTTTCATGGTGTGACCAAAGTAGCTCAGTTTTCTTTTCTTCATAGTGTTAAGTATTTCTTTTTCTCTTTTTCAACACGTATTAGCCATTATACGCCCAGATCTAAAATATAAACTCAAAGACTATTACAGCATTCAAAAAATATTTTTTAGACACTCATGGTGGCAATTTGATAAAAGGTTTCACCATAATGTTATATTAAAACTTAATCTGCGAGAAAACGAATACCTTTAGGGCCGATTGTTCAATTGGAGATTATCTTCAGATTAAAAATAATCTTCAATTAAACTTAATATAGCGTTGTTCAATGCAAGTTTAGCACTTAACCATCTGTTAACCAGAGATTACCTTAATCGCCCAAAAACGAAGGATTAACGGTGTTAACTAGAGATTTGTAACCTTACTTTCTAGTTTTGAATTAAATATTGTCTCTTGACAGTTCTAGATTATAAAATATTACAAAATTATAGATTATAAGCTATTATAATTTCGTGTCGATAATAATAATTATGGCTATTGCAATTTAAAAATTTTTTGCTATTGCATTTTTTGCAATTTAAAATACAAAAATAATCACTTATACAAATCTCAAATAAACACAACAAATTCAAAGTGCAAAATGAAATGTAATGTAAACACAACGTCAAAGTCATTAACTTTTATATACGTACATAATATGAACACCAATGTTTATACCACAGAACACATTTATCTTTATAATTTTTATGATAAAATTTGTTCCAAGCCGTTAATTAATAACTGGCAACATTGTCACCGCTACAGTACTTGAGTTTAATAAATTCGAAAGTTAACATGCATTGAACAACTTTTTAAGAAATAATCTTTCAATTAACTTTAATCATTGTTTACTTAATCCATGAGTTAACTATTGATTCAACAACTGGGCCTTAGTCATTTACAGGATAAAATCACTAGCAACAAATAAAGATTAAACCATTATTTTAAATATTATTCAACTTCGCAAATAAGTTCAGTAATTTATTGATTTATTTTGAAGCAACCGTGATAAAAACAACAAAATACTTCTTAAACTGTTTGTTCGGACTGTTAGGCCGTTGTCTTCTGAGATTAGTTCTCGACATTCTATCAGAAGATAACGGCCTCACTGTCCAAACAAACGGTTTAACAAGTTAGACGATGGCCGTGAAAGCCTAACCTAATTTAACATTAAAATACCTTGAAATACAGTAAAAAAATAATTAAAGTTTTAATTAATCAATAGCTTAACCTTAAAATATGAGTAATCCTAGTAAATATCTTAATAATATGATATTCTCACCTCACAACCTCACGAACAACAAATAATATCAATCTCACCGAATGTTCATAGCCAAAAGTCGTTATTTATTCTTCAAACAATTAAACAACCAATATTTCCGACTTCTTATGGGACAAATACACCCAAATTAGAAATGCTTGGAAAGGTTTTTAAAACCCCCGCCCGATTTTTTAATTAAAATAATTAATGTGGACAATAGCTACATACTTTATAAACAATTCGCATATATACGTTTTCATGTACTAGATGTTTTGTTTTTAATCTAAATCACTCTTTAACTTTAATAATTATTAGATTATTCCATTTCTTTATATCTTTCTGTAGCCCATTACCTATTCTTATGAACATAAGCCTCTCTCATTCGTTTCCATTCAACCCTGCCTTTCATTTCGTCTTTCGACTTTTTAACATTGGACCTTCAATGTACTTAATATCACGGCTCCATCTCATTTGTAGTTGTGCTTGTTACGTAAAACTAGACAGTAGACAAGATTAGACTTTCAAAAACGAATAATAACAGCTCAAAATAAAGCAAAATTTGCAGGACACATCGTTAACCTCTGCGAGAATATGGAACATAAAGAAGATTGAAGGTGAAAACTGCTGTTGTTCAAGCTGTTTGTTTAGCAATCTCAGAAAAACCTGCGGGTATCTTAGTGCGGCGAGTCTTAATATCTCCGGCATGACTCCGGCTATGCCAAATGCCTTTCGGATCGTCATCCGTCCAACAGCCTCGCCGACTTCCAACTCAGTAAGGGGTTCTGCCTCTACGACACCAGTATTACTTTGACGCCTATCGTCCACCTGTGGAAAGAGTTCCATATTAAACGGAGTTTCTCCTCCTCAGGCAGGGGGTAGGGTGTATTTTTCCCTTTCAATTCGGTACACACAATCTTGAAGCTCTGTCCCCAGATATCCCTTTTGAGACCCTGAAGCAGGTTACTCCTACTCCACATTTCTCTCTTAGATCTTCTTATCTCATTCTATATTCATTCTGCATTCGCTTCAATTCATTCATTCTCTCTTCCATATCTCTTCTACCTCGTAATTTTCTAAATATCTTTTAGGTAGGTATCTCCTATAATAACGGACTTTTTCAAAAAAGTTTGTCACCGTGTATAGTAAATTACAAAATGTATTGTGATATATTTGGTATTTCGTCTATTTGTTAACAACGTTTAGGTACTATTAATTCATATACTCTACAAATAAATACAAATTAGTATCAAAAAATATTATGTTTTTCTTTCTAATATGTATTACAGGTATCAAATTTATATTTAAAAAACTGACATTGTTAAATCCATTATCCCTTAAAATTCTTTATCTTTATATGCAAACTCATTGTTTCAGATTTGGCAGCCATCAGACGGCTCCTAGATGCTGAACATTCCTCGTCTGGCACATGCCCAAGTTGCGAGATGCCTTTTGACAAAGGCAAAAAAAGAAGACTCATAGACAATTGCGGACACGAGAGATGCTATTCTTGTATGTTCACCAACGAGTCTTGCCCTCTCTGTGTAGGAAACGGAATCACGACAGAAATAGGTAAAGTCTTAAATATTTGTAATTGTGTATCAGTAACAATACGGGAGAGCAGTAAAAACTTTAATCGAAAATTAATGTTTTATTGTAATATTTGTATTGAAAAACGTATTAAAGAACGTAATAAAATGAAATTAATAGGCTATATTGCAAAACTTAAATGTTTTAAATGTTTTATTTTTAATAAGGGTAAAGCATTCTTAGAATGTATTCCTACTAAATTGGTTGCACATCATCATGGTCAATTTGATGATATTTTGCGTGCATTTTCGCACGATGCCGACGTTGCCATGTTTTCGGCATATTTTTTATTAAATTATTGTGTCTTCATTATAGTTACAAATATCATTGACAAAAGTTTTGTTTTGATTTGAAGGGCATCGTAGAATGCATCTATTTTGGCATAAGTTTTTGAGAAATATAGAAAGATTATTGATAACTCCAGTTGTGGTGTTTTTAAGGATTGATAAAGAAAATTTTCAGTGGAAGAAAAATCTTTATTGTTTTGAAGTGATTGTTTAAACTTGTCAGTCTTGTTCTTTTATGAAAACGAGTAGTCATTATCTGAGCAATTTGGTCATTTGTGTCAGTGGTTATTGAATTATGCATGGAAAGTGCTGTTATTGATGTATGTCTTGTATTCCCTCATATTTAGTTAATCTTTTCCAAACTTAATACGAAGGACAGAAAAGTTATAGAAGATATGTACTTGTATAATACCAGCAATCTTTTTTGCTTTGTTTTATTACAAGTCGCGTTTTTGGTTTAAGTTGTTTATTGGATCAGACTTCATTTCTGATTTTGCAATAGTTGCTTAATGCCTTATTTTCTTGGATGGTGATCATACAATCATGATTTCCACCAGGATACACTTTTATGAGCGGCTGATATTCTGCATGTTCCAATGTGAGCTTCAGCTGTTTAAATGCACTAGGGAGTCTAGTGTTCCATATTGATCGTCCAACAATAATTATACTTGGGTAACTTTGCTTTAGATAAAGTCAGAAAACATCTTCCAATCGACACGAAAAAATGTCGGTTTTGGAGATAAAAATCGAAAAGTAATTACTATCAAAAAGCCAATCTATTGTGTTATAAGTTTAAAAATATTAATTTTGGATCATATATGTTACGACCGTTCGAGGAGAAGGTACCTTTAGAAGTATTAAAGTGTGCTTTTGATCCAGTAGTATTAGAGAAGTTAAAAAATTTTCGACATCTTTTTCTCTATCAAATATTTTTTCTGATTCCCATTTCTTAGTGTGTTATGTTTATTAAAACATCCCACCAAGTAGTTTCCCCACCCGGAAAGAAGTAGGTAGTTCCTTAATTAAATTCAATAGTGTAATATACATTTTAGAGATAGTAATTTTATTTGGGTACCAAGCAGGAGAAGTCTTGGTGAGTTGGTTAGACGATTAGTGGGTTACAAATTTTCTTCTTCTTCTTTTATGTAGACATGACTCTACATGACTCTGTTTTTCAATGTGCCTCCAGTAAGTTGTCGTTTCATCGTTTTCGTGGTCTTCCTACTGATCGTCTTCCTATTGGGGAACCATCTCTTGCCGTCTTTACTACTTTATTTGTTGGTATTCGGCTTATATGATCATTCCATTCTACTCTTCTATTTCTTACCCAGTTTTGGATCTTTGGCACATCATCCGTCTTCACCTACGTCGTATATCGGTAAATCTAGCTCTGTTCCATAGCGTCTTTCTTCTTCTTAAAGTGCCCTCTCCTCAATGGAGGTTGGCTACTACAATTTTAAATTCTTCTCTATCTTCAGCTGTTCTTATTAGCTGTTCAAAATTTAGCCCTGTCCATTGTCGGATGTTTCTGAGCCATGATAGTCTTTTCCTTCCTAGGCCTCTCTTTCCCTCGATTTTTCCTTTCACTATAAGTTGGGCATATTGGTACTTATTATTTCTCAGTATGTGGCCTAGGTATGATGTTTTTCTTACTTTTACTGTGTTAAAAAGTTCTCTTTCCTTGCCTATTCTATGCAGCACTTCTTCGTTTGAGGTATGCGATGTCCATGAAATTTTGAGTATTCTCCGGTAGATCCACATTTCAAAGGCCTCCAATTTATTTACGGTTGATGTTTTAAGGGTCCACGTTTCAACTGCATATAGAAGAGTCGACCAGACGTAGCATTTTGATAAACGTAGTCGAATTTCGAGTTTTATTCGAGAATCACAAAGCAGTTTTTTTATTTTTTCGAAAGATTTTCTAGCCTGTTCTATTCTCGATCTTATTTCTTGATCAGGATTTAGGCTGCTATCGATCCAACATCCCAGGTACTTAAATCTATTGACCTGTTCTAAGATGTGCCCATTTATTGTGCAAGGTTGAGGTACGTTTTGGTTTTTTCGGATTGACATCACTTTGGTTTTTTTAATGTTTATTTTCATACCAAATTGCTCACAGGTCGAGTTGGTCTTGTCGATGAGTCGTTGTAGACCTGAGTCGGAATCCGCAATTAACACTGTATCATCGGCGTATCTGATACTGTTGATATTTACGCCATTCACCTTGACTCCATCCTTGGAATCCTCCAATGCTTCTTTAAATAGAAACTCGGAGTAAAGATTAAACAGCAGAGGCGACAGAACACATCCCTGTCTAACTCCCCTCCTAATTTCTACTTCTGCGGATGTGGAACCTTCGATCCTAACTCTGGCTTTTTGGTTCCAGTACAAGTTTTTTAAGAATTTGATGTCTTTTCCATCTAAACCGACTTCTTGCAAACGTTCTAATAGTAGGTCGTGTCTTACTCTATCAAATGCTTTTTCGAAGTCTATAAAGCATATAAATATATCTTTCTGTTGGTCGTAGCATTTTTGGGCGAGAACTAGTAAACTGAACAGGGCTTCTCTCGTTCCCATGCCGGCTCTGAATCCAAACTGATCGTCTCCGATGATTGTTTCGCACTTTCTATAGATACGATTATGTACGATTTTTAGTAGGACTTTTACTGCATGACTCATAAGGCTTATCAGACGGAACTCATTGCAGTGTTGTGGGTTTGGCTTTTTTGGTAGTGGGATGAATATTGACTCCAGCCAATCTTGGGGTATTTTACCTGTATCATAAATGCGATTGAATAAAAGGACAAATAATTCGATATTTTCTTCGCTGATTAATTTGAACGTTTCTGGGTATATTCCGTCTGGACCTGGGCTTTTATTTGTTTTGAGATGATTAATTGCATTTATGATTTCAGATTTCAGAATTGTTGGCCCTTCGTTGTTATTTTCCAATCTTGGTTCTTCTCGTATGTCGTGAAAAAGAATTTTAATATAGTTTTCCCATTCTTTCAGTTTATCTTCCGTTGATTCTAGCAGTTTGTCATCCGTGTTCAGCATGGTGTGAAAAGTCGTTCTCTTGGTAGTCGATGTAAACTCTTTTACCTTTTTATGTAAATTAAAAAAATCGTGCCTTTGTTGCAGTTCTTCTATTTCAACGCATTTTGTTTCCAGCCATTTCTCTTTTGCTTCGGTTATTTTTTTTCGAATTATTCTATTTAGTCTTTTGTATTCTCCGTCCTTGTCATTTTTTCCTTTAGATTCTCTTCGTTTGTTCATTAATTGTAAAATCTCTTCTGTCATCCATTCCTGTTTGTTATTTCTAGGTGTTACTTTTAGATGTTTTTCAGTTACATTGTTCATTTGTTCTTTAATAGTTTTCCACAGAACGTTTATGTCATCGTACTCGCTAATTCTATTGTGGTCGATATTTCCTAAATTTTTGTAAGGTTAAACGCCATGGCGGTCCATAGGGACCGATCCTATACTATTGCACCAGGCCAGAGCGGTCCATCGGGACCGCTTTGCTACGCTTTTAGTGTTTTTTTCCTGTGGACCAAGGGACCGACAATTTCATTGATTTTATTAAATCTAATGGACCTCTAGGCGTACAGCTTAGGCTTAGATATAAGAGTTTATCTGTTGTTTTGTTTTTTTTTATGCAAACAATAAAACAATAATTTTTTATGCAAGTGTGTGTATATTTAGAAAAAAATAAGAAATAAACATTTAATTGTGAACAAAGTAATTAAAAAAACTGAATTTATTTGTGACTAATATTGAAACATTCAATGCACACATGTTCGTCACAATCTTGACAGAAGGTATTAACTTTTTTTACCTTATTTTTGGATATTTTTCCTTCTATTTTTTTCTGGTAACATCCTTTGCAATACTTTCTTGTTTTGTGTGAAGGCCCTTCCTTTTTGCTAAAAATATGTTCAGATTTTCGCTTTTTTTTAGGTGTTTCATTTACCACATTTTCTTTGTCTTCTTTTTCATAAAACAGCATATCTTTGTACACTTTTTCGCGAAACTCAGTAATAGATATACGGGAATTATTAATAAGTTTATACAGGTGGTGCGAATTAACCATTGTAGTACCAAACAGAACTTCAATTGCAACTTTGCGGTACCACTTTATACTTTTTCTCAAAGCTGAATTATAGGATGCCATTTGATCAGAAAGGTCTATAGAACTCTTTCCCTTGTTGTACTCCAGAACAGCAGTTGGCTTATACTTTGTTTGGTCTCTGACTTTTACTTCTTCCATTGAATTTGTATGTCTTGTGGACAAAAGTAAGACATCCCTTTTGTCACGCCATTTCATAATACAAATTCCTCTTTCATTCTCTCTTCCTACAATTTCTCCACGTTTTAGCTTCTTGTATGTAACTTCTTTTGGATTACCGCGTCGATTTGATCGAAGTGTACCCAAGAGGTGTGTTTGTCTATCTAGCAATTTGTTTGCTAGATCTAAACTTGTATAATAATTGTCGGTAACTACTGTCCTTCCTGCATCCAAAAGTTGTTCAGAAAGAGTCATTACGACTTTTGTAGGAACACTAGCTCCTGCATCTTGTTCTTTTCCGCAATAAATCTTCATGTTCCATGTATACCCTCCTCCAGAGCACAGTTTGAATACTTTTATTCCATATTTGTGGGTTTTAAGCGGTAAGTATTGCTTAAATATGAGAC